CCCCCCCCCCCCCCCCCCGGCAAGGCCCCCTCGCTCTCCAGGGGGCTGGGCCTTCCTGCCCACCCCTCGCTTCTTGGGCTTTTTGACGCCCTGCCTGAGCTTCAAGTAAAGAAGACACCAGAGAATGAGTTTAGAGCTAAACCCGAAAAGGAATAGGTTTGGGTGGCTTGGCCGCCTCAGACGGCGTGGTGGGAGAGAGAAAAGAAAGAGCGCTCTATAATCGGGCTCCAACAGCGAATCGCCAAACTACGACAATCTCGAAACTACGCTGTCGCTAGATACTTCCGCCTATGCGCCATTCTACGGCAAACTCCAAACCCTAAACCCTAAACCCTAAACCCCAAACCCTAAACCCCAAACCCCTAAATCCGAAGTCTCAGGTAGTGAAGTGCTTCACTGATCTCGTGCTCCTACGGGTCGAGCGGCATGCAGCAGCTCGGCCTCCGAAGTCCTCCTGATACAGGGAGTAGGGTTTAGGGTTTAGGGGTTTAGGGTTTAGGGTTTAGGGTTTAGGGTTTAGGGTTTTAGGGTTTAGGGTTTAGGGTTTAGGGATTAGGGTTCAGGGATTCAGGGTTTAGGGTGTAGGGGTTGTTACATAGCGTCTAACATACAAGATGCAAGGTATTTGAGAACGTAAAGGTATAAGGAGTAATGTATAACTGCTTTTCAGATATACTATACAGGATATAATATATAAGATTCATTATGTAGTATAGACCATATACAGTATACCAAGGAAATCTCTCTCTCTCTCTATATATATGTATCTATACATATTAATATGCATAAGTCAGACAATATACAGTAGATATTTGGCGCGCTGGCGCGAATACATTGTCCGACCTTTCTTTAGACTTGCCGAATATGCGGTCAAGACATCCCGCCCCCCCCCCCCCCGCCCGGCACTTTCGTTTAGTTCTACATGGCCTCAACCCTGAACAAAGAACCCGAGTATCACCTCTTCAAAGTTAGCGATTGCAGTTTTTTTCCTAGCTTTTTGCAGATTACAGCGCTTGTCTTCGGGCTTGGAGCATTTAGGCACTGTTTATGGCTGACAGTAGTAATACGAGCGAGTACAAGTACTATTGCTAGTGCTAATATGACTACCCATACTCATACTAGTGCTAATATTAATATTGATACTAATATACAATACCCATACTCATAATCATACCCATACTCATACTCATACTCATACTACTATGACTTTGACTATTACTAGTACTATTGCTACTACCATTATTTTTACTACTACTACTACTACTACTACTACTACTGCTACTGCTACTAAGCGTCTCGGCTCGCAAACGTGTAGTCCCCCTTTGGTGCTCTTTGGGTGTTTTGGAGGTTCCGGTCCCCCC